TCTATAGAAAAAACAGGTTTCCTAAGTGACTCTGTTTCCATTGTCAAAAACCCCTTTACAATAAGTAATCATGATGCCTCTTTTCATTTATACCAGCCTTTACAGTGAAAGCAATATGTTGGCCATAAATCTTTAGGCTGGTTAATTCCTATAAAATCCTACTTGCAGAATCAAATGATTTTACTACCTCATGTCAAATTAATGGCTGGGTGTCAACCAGTGACACTTCCTGCTTGAAAAATGACAGTGACATTAAGTGGGATTTATTTATGCTTTCCGGACAGATGATCATAAACAGTGAAACTGAACAGTGAGGGTGGGGGAAACTCAGTGCTTGTTTCTTAAATAGCATCACCATGACATCTCTTTGGAGCAATCCCATGCTGGGACTTGGGTGTGCTCCCTGGATGCATGCTGACTCTGTTTCTCCTTGATGGCTGGTTGCTATGGGAAGGGAATTTGGACTCCTGGCCCTAAACTCAGCTCTGGTCCTGCTTCAGTTGATGGCCTGGTTTGATGAGAAGGGTGGTACTGTGGGGTGTGCCCTAAAACACAGTGTCCCTTTGTAATGAGCCTGAAATTCCTCTTGCTAACCTGTCTTTAGATATGGTGAAGGCCAGAAGGAAAAGAGCTGCTGGTGGTCTGACTGATGGTCTGGAGTGAATGCTCACAAGTGGAAGGAATAAGTCCTGTAGTTTCATGCCACTGGACTTACATGTGTTGATGTTGATTTGAGGAGGAGTTTTGCCTTCCTTGGTGCCTTGGTGGGAGTTGGGGGCACTTGATGGGATGCCAGTTATAATCTGTTTCTTAGTTTAACTGGAGTAAAATTGTGATTATTAGTAGATCATCATTTTATGGCGACAACCTGAAATAGGCTCAGCAGAGGTGCATCATCAATAGTCATGTTCAGCTTGGAAGCAGTCCACTGTCCGTAGTTGAAGGTTTTGGACAATACACGAAGAAACTCCATATGATGGTTTGGGTGGAACAGAATAAGCAAACAGGGAAAGTGAAGCAGTTCTGTTCTCCGATTCCTGATGCTGTGATGTCCTTGAGAAATCCTTCATCAGGAAATAGTGACCTCTTGTGCAAAGGGACAGCAAACCAGGACAGACTGTCCCACTGGGACGTTTACCTATTCATAAGGCAACTATCCTTGACAGGCCCATGGGCAGCTGGGAGACGGTGGCCTGGATGAGTTCTCTTTGGCTTTCCCCATCCAGCCATGCAGGCAGATGGAAACAGCAGCTGCCAAGCACACCATGCCTCCCAGCCTGCAATAACAATCACACATCAGCTCACCTCTGGCCCACAGTAAGTGTCTGGAGAAGTTTTTCTGTTGCCAGTCACCCCACGTTCAAGCCTATTCTCTTTGGCTTGACCCATAGCTGGGGATTTGGCCTTCAGAGCACTAGTGAAATGCATTGACAAAGGCCAGGCGAGGACGTTGGGATCGGCAGCACGGAAGATAATGTCTGAGTCAGCTCTCAACTTCCCTAGCACTGCCAGCACTGCTGCTGCTTCTCCTGTTGCCCTGGCTATAGTAATCCTCTCTGAGCCCAAGTATTTCCACTGTATATTTTGGGAAGAACTGGAACGTTCCACTCCGTCTTCCAAAATCTAAGTATCATTCCTTATGGTGCTCCCTAACACCTAAGAGTCAGCCCTGGACACGCTGCAGATTATTTTTATCCACCTGAAGTTGTCATGGTTCACCCAGCTTTGCCCAGCCTCCTGCAACTGGGTTAGCAGTGTTGTGTCCACCCTTTAAGTTGTCCCTAGGAATGATCCTTACCCTTGTAGTCCCTTCTGTCTCAGATTCATTGGGGGCTGAATCAAGAAGGGATACAGCCAATGCGTAGCACAGGATGTCATCCAGAAGCTGAGGCATAATGGAGCCTCTTGTAGCTCTTCTTTGACCAGCTTCTTGGGTCTCCTTACAAAGACAACCATAGCCTATGGGGGAGCAGTATGGAGTCAGCACACATACAAGGTTTTAGCTGGGACCTAGGACTGGGGCTCCCAGGCCCCACAGTCAGATGTTTTTAGTCTCTTCCTTATCTGGGCAGGGCAGCACCACCTTTCTGTTCCTTTCTCCACTTCTTACCTTTGGTTTCCAGGTCAACCTCATGGCCCATACAGTCCATGAGAGTTCAAAACCTGATTTCATCACAATTATAGATCACAAGTTGTGAGATGCAGCTGTACTCTGCTTGGATATTCCATCCCATAGATCCAGGCAGAAAGAACAAATAGGGAGGACAGGGTGTCCTTATGGTGCAGAATGATCTAATCCATACTCCAAACATCCCCTATGCTCCTTTAGGTAAGCCATATGCTCATAACTGGAGAGATTTTGACAGGCAAGACTGTGGCTTAACCCCAGACAGCAAATGAGCCCCACACAACCTCTTGCTCAATTGCCTTGGTGTGATGGGGGAGAGAATTAGAAGGGTAAAAGGGAGAGAACTTATGGGTTGAGATAAAGACAGCTTAATAGGTAAAGCAAAAGTTGTGCATACAAGCAGAGCAATACAAGTAATTCATTCGCCATGTCCCAATTGCAAGTGGATGTTCAGCCATCTCCAGATGAAGCAGGCTCCATTAGGCATAATGATTACTTGGAAAGATAAATGCCATCACTCCCCCTTGTCTTTCTTTCCCCATCTTTACGTGCTGAGCATGATGCCATATGGTATTGAATATCCCTTGGGTCAGCTGTCCTGCCTGTGTCCCCTCCCAGCTCCTCACGCACCCCCAGCCTGCTTGCTGGTGAGGCAGCATGAGAAGCAAAGACCCTGACTCTGTGTAAGCTCTGCTCAGCAATAGCTAAAACTTCCCTGTTGCCAATGCTGTATCCATCACTGATCCAAAAGGCAGCCCCATACCAGCTACCCCGAAGAAAATTAACCCTCTCCCAACCAAAACCAGCACAATACCTCTTGCAACCTGTTAATGGATCACCCAGCCAAAGAATCTTCGTGTCTAGAATTTCCTGTAATTATCAGGAGATGGATTTGTCTGGATTTACCTTAACCTCTTCAGCCCTCATGTTCAAAGATGTGCAAGCCTTTGATCCAAAGAACAGCCAAGTGGCCATGAGGTGCTAATACTGCTTTGCCATAGGACTGGCAGCATGGACCATGCTTATGTGGGAAATGGAGATGCAGGATATGAGCATATGTAATATGTAATTAAAGAATACATATGTTAACACTGTTCCTATCTGATAAATAACACATTTAGGCCTTGGTTAAACTGAACTCCCTAATCCATTGCTTAGAGCTGTTGCATCTTCCTACACATGGGTTTATGTTGTCACCAGGCTGCATTAAGTCATGTAGTTGGAAGCCTTTGGCACATTTGCATCTGAGAAGAGAATAGTTGTGTCCCCTCTGTCTTTCACTCTATGCAGGGAGTTTATAGAGAAAAGCTACCCCTAGGGTTCTCTTCTCATACGTGCTTTTGGACTAATCTATTTCCAAGCCACCAAGTGTTGGGATGGTTGGAGAGAGCAGAGCCTGGTTGGTTGCTTCTGATGGTAGTCTGCAAAACTTGAAGCACTGAAGGGGGATGCTTAATTGTATTACAAGGTGTGAGGAACTTGGAACCATAATATGGAGACCGCTATGGAGAAGATGATTGTGCCTCACATTTTCCAGTGTGGCCAGCTTATAAAACATAAGCTTTTTATTTTATAACATTTTTATATTGTAATTATATTTTAACTCGTGCTTTTAAATATATAAAAAGCCCCAATGTTCTATAAGCTTGCTGAACTGGAAAATCTGAGGCATGCACATTTGGTGATGATGACAGCTTGATGCATGGATTTGTTGGGTCAGTCAAATGCCCCTGTCAAAATTCCTTACTTGCATCTCACCCATGTGTAGGTTTTTACACTCAGTCCCATCAAAGTCTTATTCAAGACCTTAAAATAGAGTTTAACTGATTCACAGAGGTTGTGTTGGTCTCACCGAGTTGATTCACCCAGGCTTTGTAACAGTACTAATAGTAAATGATTCTTAACAACATCAATGTGTTATTTTTGATCACCCCCCCGGGACTCATGCGTGTTACAAAGGAAGCTGGTGTCACTCTGTGTTAAAGATAAAACACACCCAGCTTTCCAGTAGGGATGTTAATTACACTCTGGACATCCATGTTTAATCTTCTTGCTTTTATCATTTTCCTACATGTGAAATGTTTAAAAACATGTGGAAGCAAATGAGATAAACATCTGCTCCAAGCTGGACTCATCCATCCAGCCCGGAATTCAGCATCTGGGAGGATTTCAGTGGTGAACGTGGCTGTGAAAAGGGCAGACCAAAATAGCACCAGTTTCCCAGGGTGTAAGGCCAGGCTGCCAGGTGGTGTAAATCAGGGTGTCTTCTCTCCTGTGCTGCTTTTGGGGTGTCATCCTCACCAAACCTTACTGGTTGGGTTTGAGATGTTCCAGGCTGATTTTCCAGATAGTTTCCTCTATCCAAATAGGTTTCACTGTGAGGTTTGTCCTGGAGGAATGAGGCAATTGATGAAGAAAGCTTCTTGTCTCTCTGAACTGGGTTCTGTGACGTACCAGGGGTACACACAAGCCATCAAAACGGGATGCTGAGCTCCAGTATGCTCAGAGTGCAACCCTGGTTGGTGCTAATCATAGAATGGTTTGGGTTAGAAGGGACCTTAGAGCTCATCCAATTCCAACCCCCTGCCATGGGCAGGGACACCTTCCACTAGAGCAGATTGCTTCTAGCCCTGTCCAGCCTGGCTAATAGAGAAGTTTGTGTTCTCATACTGTCCTCCTGGGTGGTAAACCCATTTCCAAGTGTCTTCTATGCAACCCTTTTCTATACTGGGTTTTAAAGGTATCAGTGAGCATGAGTCTTCCCATGGATGCTCCAATGAGCTCTGCAGGTAACTAATGAGCAGGGGCAATGCTGTGGTGATAGTCAACCAAATATGCTTAACCAGAAAAAGGAATGGGCTCTCTTGTGTAGGAAGCTCACAATGATCCCTTCTGGATTTGAAATCTGAGAGGAACCCGCATTTGGAGAGTCTGGAATGGAAAAGCAGCCCCCTCCTGCCTGGCCCAGGCTTCTGAAGCTGGAGCATCAGGCCAGGTGGGATTTACCACTTGCCAATGTGTAACCTGGCAGGGCTGAGCCACTTGGATACGAATTCCTCCTCTTCTGATGAAGACAGGGAGCCAGGCGGAGCACCGCAGCTTTCCCAGCAGCACTCAATGGCATGCCGTACCCCAGGGCGACTTGCGTTCCCTGCTGTGAAAAGCTGTAAATTACACACCAATAACTGCATGGAAATGGCTGGGCAAATATTTGGAGAGGGTGAGAAACTCTGTAGAAATCACTGCTCTCGAGTCACTTATGGATGGGAAAAGGTGAACCGAAAACATCGCCCTGGCACGTGATCTGCTGGGCGTTATTCATCTTAACAGCACTGCTCCCTCTCTTCTTCCCCATCCTTTCTTATCTGCTTGCCCTCTTCACTCTTGCTATGCAGTGGCTGATGAAACCATGGTTTCCAAATGGATTTATTTTTTACCCTTCCAAATTTCTAATGGCAATAAAATACTTCAAAGGCAGAGGCAACTCAGATGCCAGCTTCTAGCCTAGAGCTTACTTTTACAGCTCTGTAATAAACCCCTCTAAGAGAAATGTTTATAATGGCCTTGACCGTGGTGCTTGACTATTGCAGTGCTTTCTGTCACCCTCATAATGTGAAGTGCCAATAAATCACCTGAACTGTTGTGGTGCCCTGTATTTATGTACTAAGCTATTATAAGAGTGTTTTTCAGTTTTATTGCCCAAGTGGAGCAAAAGCTGGGGATCTGTTGTGGCTTTGGGGGTTTTGTTTGGGTTATTTTGCCCAGAAGAGTAGATTAAATGCCATCTAAACCTCAAGCTGGCCTCTTGTACCTGAGCTCTGTAATGCTGCTGGTTTCGGAGGTACTTCGCAGGGGATCAAACCTGGTTTGGAAGCAAAGCAGAGCAATACTGAGTGTTCCCAAAACTTCATCTACTGAGAAGAAGATGATATAAAACCATGAAATAAAACTTATCCTTCCCCCTAGTTTCCTGCACGCTGTCATCTCTGCACTAGAGGTTTTGGAAGACACCTCCATACTAAGCATGGGTGTGTAGTCCAAAGCCTAGTGAAGAGCAGGATCAGAGCTCGCAGTATGAGCATGGACACGGTTTGACATTATTGCATGAAAAATAAACCATTTTCTCCCAAATGAAGTAAACACAGAAAGTTTTCCAACTGTGTCAATGACCCCAGGGCAAAATGGATTTTGTGGCAGCGTGGATCATATGGGAACAACAATGTTTAGCTGTTGGTAATGAAAAGTCAATATTAGAAGTAAAGCAAATCAGCCCTCCAAAGCACCTGCCTGCTCTTGGAGTGCGTTTTGAAGAGCCTTGCCACATCCTGCGTTAGGACCTGCTGCCTCTGTGTGTATCACCTGGTTGGGATTTTTCACGGAGCTTGAATGCATTAGAGAGCAGCCTCAGTGAAGCAGAACTGTGCAAATTGAATTGGATTTACATGACAAGGTGGAGCCCGAGCGCAGCAGCTAGGAAATGCCTTGAGAAGCAAAAGACAAAGCAGAGGGGATGAGGGAGGGAGGCTGCTCTGTGTAAACAGGGTTTGAAGACAAGGAGAAAGATTGACTAATAGAGCAATGAGATTAAAGCTCCCACTTCAGGTGCCCTGGGGGTTTCAGAATGAGACACTGAGAATTGGGTATTAGAGGAAATAAACAGATTCCAGGTTAGAGTAAGCGGGAGGCTGGAATATTATTGTAGGATAAAGTGTTCTGGGATGGAGTGAGCTGACCCAGAACATGTCCGTGTTCCAAGAAAGTGTGAAGACTTGATTATCAACCCCAGCAAAGCCTGAAGGACTCAACCTATTGGCTTCCATGAGCTCCGGGTGAAGCCTGGCTCCCTAGCAGATGTTAAGAGCTTCATGTTTTCTTCCCTTTAAGAAATACATCTATCAGCTTGCTGCCTGTTATCTTATCAAAACATGGTTTCTTCAGCAGTAATATGTAGGTTTCATCGGAATCTGTAAATACCCAATTGCTTCCATATGCCAGCTATTTCACTGGAGAGACCCTCCGCTTCGGGAATGTCATTACTGCCCAAGATAATCTGCTGTGAGTCATAATGTAAACTCAAAGTTATTGCAGTTTATTAGCAATCACAATTTGCCAGGAAAATAGAATCAAGGGTGTATCAGAGAAAGTAACTCGATTGCAAAGTGAACATGCCCTCTATTGCAGTCTGAACCCATTAATACCTGCTTTCCAAATCCAAAGAGTGATTTCCTCTTGTGCCTGTGTAATAACATGGTGCAGCGTGTTTTCTTCTGAAGGAACCAACAGGATTTGATTGAATATATGGAATTGTAGGTTTTTTTCTGGTTTGTTGCTTAAAGCTGATCCTTACTGTCAACATTTGTGATGAGGAAACCTTGGGAAATAACACAGCTAAAGGCTTGATCTGGTGCCACTGTGATTTGTAGAGCTAAGATGGAGAGACACTACTGTGGCCATGTCTAAGGACCAGCCAAGCAGAAAGTATGTATTGGCACCCTGGGTCCGGGTGCTTTGGTGCAAGTGTAAGGTGCTGCTCTTAAAGATGAAGGGATCTGGCAGGGATACTGGGCTGCTGTCACCATCAGTAGCGCTTGGGAGAGGGCACAAAAGGAATGTGGTGAAAAGTCAGTCATGAAAGAAGTGCTAAATGTGCCATTTCCTGCTGGAGCTGCTCAGCTTAAGAGAAATCCTCCCTCTTGCATCCTACTGTTGGGAGAGTGGATTTGGGAGGGTAAGAAATGGCTCTTTATTAGTAACACTTTGATTCCCCTGATTCCAGTGGGCTCGTGGCTGGGATTTCCTCCAGCTGAATGTTGATGTGAGCAGCTTCCAAGTCTATCTGTGTAGGAATATCAATGCATAGCAGATCCAACAACTGGATGTGTAGGGACAACTTGTTACCTCAGAGTCCTCACCCTGATGTGTCTCCTCACACAGTTGGCAATGCCATATCCCTTCACATGAAGCTAATCTAGCTGCTAAGGTCCTTCAGCATTGGCTAGAGGTGGCCTCAGGATTGTCCCTATGTAATGGGTAGAGTTTGCTTGGCCTTGCTCTGGTGCACCGTCATGCTGGGCATCCTCATGGGCTTTAGACATTAGTTAGTCCTAGGTGATTAATGAGGAACTTCAGAAGCTCCAATATGTGGGATCATGTCAGACATTTGGAGGTGATTGCACAGCTGGACTTAGATGTGGCAGCAGAACTGTTAGGTTGGATTCACCTGAAACCCACCCATCCATGCTGGTGGAAAGAACAATCTTGTAGGCTGGTATAAGCAGATATCACTCCAAAGGGGGGCCGTAAAGTGCTGCTTATTCATAGCACTTGCTTACTTGGCAGGGATGCTCCTTCTCATGTGCTGTTTGTGTTTCTGGTTCGTTTGCCAGGTGTGGGGCTCTGGTTATGGGTAAGAGAATAGGAGAGAGGGAGAACAGAGCAAACAGGTCTCTAACAGGGGCTTGCTTCTATAGAAGCACAAAAATCTTCATTCCCCAAGAGCCTGGGCAGTCTTCTGGTGATAGACTGGTGATAATGAATGCAGACTGGGTGCAGAACAGGGCATCCCCTAGTCCTCATCAAACCAAATGAGGATATAGCATAACCTTACCCTGTGAAGCTCACTCTGAGATGTCAGTGACTGAATTACTTTGGTAGGAGAGTAAAGGTCTATAAACACCCCACCTCTTGAGAATTTGCTTGCTAGATGATGCTTGGTAGATGCTGCACCTACCTGCCCTATGCATTGCAGATGCTATACAAATCCATCCTTCCTTCCTTAAATGGGTGTAAACCCCATTCCAGTCTCCTGGAATTCAATAGCACTTTTTACCATTCATTTCAGTGAGGTTGCAGGTATTTGTGTGTGTTTCCACCAGCTCACACTCAAGAGTAACAGCTGAGCTGGTATGAAAAGGGGGTTTCTTACAGAGAAAAGAAGACTTGAACTCTGCTGGAAATGCTTTTGTTTGGCAGTGGCTGGGGAAGGTTGTTCTGGGACTGATTTAGAGATCACTGGGTAATCTTATGCACATTCCCTCAGGGCAGCCATAAGTTAAGTGATGAAAATGTCTGCGTGTTTTACACAGGGACTGAGGGAGAGGCAGCAGTGCTGGAACAGCACACAGAGCCCCATATGGACAGTGCCATTGCTGAGGGGACATGATGCTCTCCCAAGGGAGCGCGCACAAGCCCGGTACTTGAAGCAAGCAAAAAGAAGCATCAGTGTCATGGAGCTGAGCATATGCAGCACTTTTGTAGTAGCTTTTCTGCAATGGACAAGGCTAAAACCATCCCAATGCCCCAGAGAGCTTCCTCATGGGAGACGTTGGTCCTTCTCCAGCTTCCTGCACGAATCTGCCTGCCCCAAGCTGGACTCATGCGATGCTTAGAATGCCTGTTTGGTGTTTTGGGGCTGTGGAGAGGAATGGCTCTTGTTCCTTGCTTATCTGCAGAGATCCCCACGTGTTGGTTCAGGAGCTGCTGTGACAGATGCAGTGCTTCACTAGGAGACATCCGTGGTCATGCCGCTGCTCTGAAGCCTGCAGTGCTTTACACAGGGCTCACTGCCAGTGCCAGGGAAAACAGCTTCCCCCCTGCACGTGCTTCTGGTTTACATAATTTACATACGAATGTACAGCACACAGACAGCCTCCATCTCTTCCAAGCCCTCATTCCTCCTCTGCCTATTTGTAATGATGTGCTTGATGTGGCTGCCTCTTCGTGCATGTGTGTGTGTGACATAAATGGTCTTAAATACAAGGGACTGGGTGGGAGGAAAAGAAGAATGGAAACTGCAAGTATTTTACTAAGCTTAGATGCCATAATAATCCTGACAATTAACGATGGGAAAGCTCCAGAGCTGGGTTTTTTTTCTGCCATACATTTGTTTTCAGTGTAATTGAGGAGAGACCTTCCTACTTGTTGCACAGCAGCCATGCCCAAGGGGACTTGGTTATAACCAGTTCCAGAGCAGGGTGTCCCTTCTGGGGTATCTGTGTGCTTTGTCCATAAAACTTGCAATGCACCCCCTCTAAGATTAACATTAAAAGGCAGCAAATGAGCTCCAAAGGCTTGTCTGATGAATGGGGCTTTTTGTTCTGAAACATTGTCACCCAAGGGTGAGCCTATGGGGAGATTTATAGCGAGATTTCAAGCTACTAAGGAAGGAAGGCTGCTTTGATTAGCCAGGTGGCAAAGCACTACAGCACATCAGATAAGGATGGCCGTACAAGCAAGCCTATGGGGACGTGCACAGGACTTGCAGTATTGCTGTGTGGTTTGCACTGCTTAGTGCTGCTGTGGCTGGAGAAGGTGGTTTGCCAAAGCCCAGTATATCTTCGGGTTTGGCTATTGCAATTCCAGGTTTTCTGGAGGTGGTTCTAGTTTGTGTTGGCTTGTTGAGGTCCCTGAAGAGCCGCTGTGTCACTGAGGGCTGTTGGAGCAGCACCATACGGCTCTGCTCTCTTTGCTTTCATGGTCATGATCTACAAAATCTCTGCTGCTTTCATCCCTAAAGCACCTGGGTATTTTGCTCGTGTCCAAAGCTGCCTGGATTAAAGAGGGTGCATCTCATGGTGCCAGCAGGATGTTGGTGTGAGGAGGGACCATTGACTCTGCAGAAGCACGGTTTGCAGAGCCTGCTG